ACCCAAAAATTGCCAAAAATTTGATCAAAAATGACCCAAAAATTTCCCAAAAATTGCCCCAAAAATTGCAAAAAAATTGCAAAAAAATTGATCAAAAATTCCCCAAAAATACCAAAAAATTGCTCCAAAATTGCCCAAAATTACCCAAAATTGCCCCAAAAATTGCGCCAAAAAAAAAAAGACCCCAAAATCATCAAAATTTGCTCCAAAATTACCCCAAAAATTCTCGAAATTCACCCGAAACGACCCCAAAATGACGCAAAAGCCCCGCGGTGACCTCATTGATGACGTCATCGTCGTCGTCTTTGATCTCGATGCTGATTGGCTGCCGAGGGAAGCGCTGGAAGATCTCGACCAATCGGGGGATGCGACGATCGCGGCCGGAGGAGAAATGGCCTGAGGGGGGTGAGGGGGGGGAGGGGAGACCCCAAAATTCCCGAAATTCCCAAAAATTCCCAAAAAATTTTCCCCAAAATTTAAAAAATTCCCCCAAAATTCCTCAAAATTTCCACAAAAAATTCCCCAAAATTCCCCCCAAAATCCCCCCAAAAATCCCCAAAATTCCCAAAATTTCCCCAAAAATTCCCCAAAAACTTTTCCCCAAAATTTAAAAATTTCCCCCCAAAAATTCCCCCAAAATTCCCCAAAAAATTCAGAAAAATTCCCAAAATTAAAAAAAAAATCCTAAAAAATTCTCCCAAAATTTTCCCAAAATTAAAAAAAATTTCCACCCTAAAATGTCCCAAAAATCCCCAAAATTTCCCCAAAAAATCCCAAAAAATTGCCCAAAAAATTCCCCCAAATATTCCTAAAATTCCCAGAAAATTCCGCAAAAATTCCCTCAAAAATTCCCAAAGAATTCCCCCAAAACATTCCCAAAATTCCCAAGAAATCCCCCCCAAAAATTCCCAAAATTCCTCCCAAAATTCTCGAAAAAATCCCCCAAAATTTCCCCAAAAATTCCCCAAAAATTCAAAAAAAATTCCCAAAAATTTTCCCAAAATTTTCCTCAAAAATTCCCCCCAAAATTCCCAAAAAATTCCAAAAAAATTCCCAAAAATTCCCCAAAAATCGCCCCAAAAATTCATCAAAATATTCTCAAAAAATTCCCCAAAATTCCCCAAAAATTCCAAAAAATTTCCCCCAAATCTTCCCAAAATTAAAAAAAATTTCCCCCTAAAATTCGCCCAAAATTCCAAAAAAATTCCAAAAAAATTCCAAAAAATTCCCAAAAAATCGCCCCAAAAATTCACCAAAATATTCCCAAAATTCCCCAAATTTTCCCCAAAAATCCCCAAAAATTTCCCCCAAATCTTCCCAAAATTAAAAAAAAATTCCCCCTAAAATTCCCAAAAATTCCCAAAAAATTCCAAAAAAAATCCCAAAAAATCGCCCCAAAAATTCATCAAAATATTCCCAAAATTCCCCAAAATTTCC